CACACACACACACGCACACACCATGTTTCTCTATCCTTGTGGGGACTTTCCATTGACTTCCATTCATTTTTTTGGTAATTTTATATCCTAATCCTGACCATTTACCCTCAAATTAACCTCACAGGTACCTACATGACCCTAATCTAAACTCAATTTACACCTTGGTCCTAAACCTACCCACCCAAAATCAGCCTCCAAAGTCATGGGGACCAGGCTTTGGTCCCCATGAGGCTGCATTTTCCTGAAAAATCATCCCCGCCAAGTAGCAAAAACATGGGCACCTGTGTTCTTCAGAGCAACAAACTGACAAAACTCCTTCATTTATGTTCGATCAGCAGCACCTGGATGCTCCCTTTCCCCCCCTCAATTCCAATAAAAGATTCAAGGACTTAATTTTGCACACATTACTTTTACCATTTGGTTTCACTTTTGTCTAAAAAAAACAAAAGTATTTATTAAACCACAAGTTGGAATCTGTTGCATGCTTTTGTCCACATACATTCAATTTAAAACAATTTTATGTTAAGAAAAGACCAGATCATTTCTATTATACCCTGACACATAAAACTTTAGAGTTTAAAGAGAATAAACTTTTTTTCTTCCATTTTCCCTCCTATGTCCTGATCTGTGAGGTCTATACCTGACTGTAAGGACAGGGTGAGAAAAGAAACTCTCGCATTCCACGTCGGTGACAGCAGCCTTTAAAGAACAGGAAGTATGGGATAATGAACAGGTAAAACCGGTCAAAAGGAAATTCCTCCTCACCCTGCACAACTAGAGTGACTTTTCTCATGTCGACGCCTGGTGACTTCTTGACTTTACACTGATAGGTGCCGGTGTCTGAGAGCCTCACACTGGAGATGGCAACGGAGGCGTCTCCCTGATTCGGATCTGCCAAGAACTTTAATCTGTTGGAGTAGCTGGAGTCGTAGACGTGCGTCTGCCCCCCTGAATAGGACAAGATCTGAGATGCAAGAGAGATAGAGGAAAAAAAAAGGTTTTTAGCTTCCAGTAACAAAGCTAAAAAGAAAACAGAACTCAAAACCCTCATGTGCACGATTCATCAGACATTTTAGTCCAACACCCAGACAGGCTTTTTTTTTTGTTTTATTACCAGTTTGTCAACAACAGCGTAAAAATCTCACCAGCGTGTCTTTCTGTGTCATGTCTGGGCTCACGTTGGACCACTCGATGTCCAGGTCTCCTGTGTCCCCTGTCCCCGGTGTGTAGGTGCATCCAAGGGTGACCGTCTGTCCCTCGGGCTGTTGAATGGTCTGTGGCCCCGAAGAGGTTATTGTCATCGCCTCTGTCACACAAACACGTTCAGATTGTTTCACTTACTACACACCTCTGCCTTCTTTTTCCATTGCTTCTCATGAATTTCAATGTTTTCTGCTTAATTATATTCAAGCTGTGGGTCTGAGCAGGCTCAGGGTGCAAGAGGAGAGCCAAAGTGAGAATAATTGGCCTCACAAGTCAGCTGAAGATAGAGTCGAAATACATAAAAAAATAAAAGAAAATAAATTAAGTGATATGTTTCTCAAAATGAGCCGCATGCTAATTTAATTGGGGAGGCTCATTAACTGTAAGAAATATACAGGCAAATGTTGATTAAAATTGAGTGGATGGGCAAAAATGAAAAACACATAGTTGACAAGTGGCAGTTTAAGCCTCCTCGGAGTCGACACACACCCTGGTGACTCACTGCTTTCATGACCAGAGATTTTAATTACAGCAGATAGCTTAACGTACATCATTTTTTATTTTCCCTTCAGAAGATCATTATTAATGAGCAGCAGCACTTTTGAAAACAGATCCAGGTTCCTCATTTTCAGTTATGACGGGCTGGGGGGAAAAAAATCAGATGTTTCTACATTTAGATGTTTAACCTTAACTAAATATCTAAGTGACACACAGATCTTTCATCTCCTCTCATCCTAAACTCGGTATCAAACTCTGAAAGCGCTTCAGTGCCACTGCAACAAAACAAAGCGTGTCACAGGTATTCATGAAAGCTTGTAAATGTCAGATGTGATGAAAGGAAGCGGAGGAAAAAAAAAACAGCTGAATCTAGTCAATCAAATGTTTACACTGTGAAAGCCCCCCTGGGTGAAAAAGCACTTTTGTGAGGAAGATGATGTTTTCTTTCCGCTTGCCAGAAAAGCCCAGTTTGCTAAGCCTTAATACAAAGAGCTGAGAATATTCAAATCCTCTGCACTCCTCCACCAGATAACACGTTATCTCCGTGTTGTAGTGGGAGCTTGCATCAGAACTTAGGAAATCAATCAGGCTTCGGAACACCAAATGTTCTGATGGTAAAATGAGGAAGATGTGGYGGCTTAAAGGGACCTGGGAAAGAAAAAAAAAACGACGCTCACCTGCTGCAGGCAGATTTCATTCACTTGTGTCATTATGTTAGCTGTATCTGAAAATAGGTTGGAAGCTGGCCCAGAATACAGGTACAAAAATATACATATACTGTATGTGTCTCAGAATAAATAATAAACCTGTCAGAGTAATTAACTGTCAATGGGAGGTGTGCTGGGAAGTTTTCAGACATTATTTTTGTTTGTGTTACTGAATGCCTGAGATGTGATTCATCAATCAGACCGTGTGAAACTCCAAACGCCTAAAACACTTTTTTTTTCAGATTTCAGACCCAACATCTGCTTTTTTTTAACATCCCTAAAATAAACACGGTGCTCTGTGGAAAATGTAACTCACCTGCTGTCAGCTGAGTCCTTATCAGAACCAGCACGGCCACCTTCAGCCACACGCTCGTAAACAAAAGGTCCATTTMAACCCCGGCAGCTACACATCAACACATATATCAGTCACAGCTTCTTATCTTTGAATGTTTTGAATTTCCAACTAAAAAAAATATAATAATAGTAAAAAATAAAAAAACACAAGTGCTGTTTTTCACATTCGCTCAGTGTTTAGCAGCAGACAGACAAATATTATCTGTCAGAACACACCACCAAGAAAAAGAGGATCTGCAGAACAGAGAAGACGGAAAAATACAAATACCTTAAGGAGCAGGAAGAGATTAAACGTCTGCGTCCCTCGAGGCCCTGTCACTGTGTGGGAGCTGAGGAAGGCTGCTTATTTTGCTCTCAGGTGAAACTCAGCAGCAGTAACTATGGTCACACCCTCTCTGTTCAGAGTACATGTGTTAGCCACTCCCAGGGCTGAGGACACGTCAAACCACCTTGTGTCTGCCGCTGAGCTGGGACACCTCTGCTTATCTACACTTAAACAGAGCGTAACTTATTGCAGGAAATGTTTAGAACAGAAACCAGCCCGAGCTGTAAATGATTCTGTTTGTTTTCAGGCCCGTATGTAAAGCAGCTGCTGACAGAGGCGAATGATTCTCTGTCTGAGGTGGTTTGACAACTATGCTCTTCTGCTTTTTGTGTTTATCATCTATTACTTGTCACCAGGCAGCGATGCATGTCCGATTCTCTGAGTGGAGCTTTGTCTCTGTATACCAGGGTTTTCCCTCTGCCACCTTTCATACCAGAGTGTTAAACTGAGGCCATCTTATGATGAGAAGGAATGGAGTTTCAGAGAGGCAGCCATTTTTAATTGAACTAACTCCAAAAGTTAATCAGGGAAAGATGTACATCTAATGGTCCTATTTTGAAAAGTTCTATTAACATCTTCACAGTGGTTTCTGAATTATTTTGCTGACAGATGTACAGTGTTTACTTAAATGCCAAAGATTAAAGGCAAAGATCTGACACAATGTATAATGCTTGGAGTATATGTTGGTAATGGTTCTCAGGTACAAGTACTCAATATTTTAGCTTCACATGTATAACACAACTAAATTTTACCTTCTTTTGTTTGATAAGGCTGCTTAGCTGTGGCCATTTTAAATTGGGGTGGCTCCAAAAGTCCAGATGTAGGTATCCAGTTTCATATTAGAATTGTTCCAGTAGTGTGGAGGTTTGCTGCTGCTGTTCCTGACTAATTGTTTTGCAGTTCACTGAGAGTTTGGTGGGGGGAGACTGGATGGACTCACCTGTGCATGGTCTGCTCTGATTAAGCCTGAGAGTATTTCAGTCGCCTTCTGAGATCCAACCGATGCTGGATTATTCAGTTGCCCATGGTACTGTTTAAGACAGCCTCAGTTTAATTCTTTGAGAAAACCTTATTAACCCTTGTTGTATTTTTTCTACACCTACCTCGTGTTCAGGCTGGACTGTCTGATCCTCCTGGTGACACCATGTTTGGTCCTCGTCCAGACTGTTGTTTTTTTTCACTCTAAGATCGAAGTGATTCGTTGTCCTCCGCCCTGCCTCTCTCTCTTTCATGGAAATCTGCAAGAGACACAATTGGAAATTACCTGTGCTGGATTCCTAACAAAGAACCTCTACAAACGTCCTTGTCCTTGTCAGCCTCCTCGCCTGGGTCCTGTGAGAAAACCAACAATTAACACATTCAACAACTCCAAACACTTACCTGAGAACAACATCCTTAACTGCTTTTTTCCCCCCTTTTCAGCAAAGAAACCTGGACCAATTCACTGTATAATAAACTCACTTACCTTTTACCATTTTCATCTTTGTCCTGTTTTCCTCGTCGGTTTAAGTTGTTTTTGGGTACTCTTAAAAGAAACAAAACAAATCCTAACAAGAAGTTTGTGAGAAATTCTGCTATCAGACAAATAGGGTGGATTCCAATAGTGTCAACGTTTGAAGCAATAAGCCCTTTGGGTATGCATTAGGAATGACTCTCAGCTACTACAAGTTTAGTTTTAGATTTTAGCTCTCTGTAAAAACTACCATTACATTTGGTATTTGTGTTTCCAGAAGTTGCTCAAATTGGATTGACCCAAAAGTTAACCAGTAATCATTATACAGCTATTGTTTTCAAAGAGTTTCATTCACATCTGCAGTGATGGAGGTGGATTGATTTTCTAATAACATAAAAACAAACCATCTGAGAGGACAATAACTTGTAGCAGTTCAACACACAGACAATAAACTGACTGTGCAGTGTGACAGCTGCACAAGATCTTCTTCTTCTTCTTCATTGGCGGTTAGCAAACAACTTGTGGTGTGCATTACCACCCACCTACTAGAATTGAGTGTGGGTCAAAATGCTATATTATCCCTATTGATAATTACCATGCCTCTTTTGTACTTGTATTTGTATTTGTTATATTATTTTCCTTAATAAAAAAATTAATACTTATCATATTCTGTTAACTTGGTTTTCTTGAATCTAATTAAAATGTTAATACTTTTGCTTCCTGAATCTTTCTGTAATAAATTTGATATATTGAATGTTTCTTTAATTGTTCTAAATTCCTCCATGCCTCTTCTTTGTCTCTCATATCTTTTACATATTAATAATACATGTTCTATTGGTTCTAGCATTCCACAATGTTGACAGTTTCCATTTCCATGTTTTTTTTATTATAAAGAGTGTGCTATTAAGTCCAGTGTGTCCCATTCTTAATCTGGTTAATAAAACTATCTTCCTTTCTGTTTCTGCAATTTACTCTCGTTTCTCGCACTTTCCTTTGGATCTTATAAAACCATCTTCCTTTGTTTTCTTCATTCCATTCTTTCTGCCACTTTTCCTTGATTTTTAATTTAACCTAACTTTTTGCCTCAGATTTTTACTTATATTGATTGTGAAGTTGATTTGTCCTGTTGTAGCTGCTCAAGCTCTAAACAAAGCCTTTCTTAAACGATTGAGCTCAGAAATAACTTCAACTTCCCATTAACTATGAAAAAAATTAATTTGCACTTTACCACAGAAGGACGAGTTTGATTAAAGAGCTCTGCATCATCAATTTGAAAGCCCAAACCCTCAGTGAGTTGATCCTGGAATAAAAAAAAGACACTTTGAATGAAGCTGGACGGGCTGGTGGTGAAATGATTCCATGTTGATTGCAGCAGAGTTGTACAGTAGGATGTGTACGCGCAGGAGCGTGACGTTGGCCATTAGGAAACTCAAGTGCTGGGTTAATGCCATGCTGCCAATATTGTTCATTATAGGGATGAACAAGTTAGTAGCGGTCAGAATGAAACATGATCAGAAAGCWAATTTGAAATCAGCATCGCTCCCCCTCCCCCTTTTCTGTTGCAAGCTGTGCGTTCTCACACCGAGCACCTGGGCTTCATGCCTAACCCCCCCACCCCACCCCCACCACAC